GTCTTTCTCCTTTTTTTTTTTTTTTCTTGCTTAATAGCTTGTATCTTTTATCTTGTCACATAGTTCAGTGGCATAGAATTGCATAAATTAGTTTTGCAATTATCAAACTCTTCAACTTCTCTTCGGCATTTAACAAACTTCAGAAGCTGTTTATTGCTTCATATACTTCGCCATCATGAATATTAGCCTTTAATTAAGTGGAACTCTAATCTTAATCTTTCTAGCTATGTTGCAAAGAAATATTTTTGTTAGGTTGAAGAAGATAGTATTTGTTACTCTTTTTCCAATAAATGGAATACTTTCAGAATGACCTTTTTAGGGAGTAATTATAACAATATAAAATATAAGACAAAATTCATTATCACAAGGAAAAGCATTGTGTGGTTTCTTTTTCTATATTTTACTTAGCAACATAAAATCACAGAGAAGCCTCAGCTGAGAGGGACCTCTGGAGATCATCTGGTCCAGCCTTCTGTTGAAAGCCGGGTCTTAGATTTGTTTTTTCAGGTCCCTACCAAGCCAAATCTTGAATATTTTCAGGGAGATTCCACCACTTCTCTGGGCAACCTGTTCCAGTGTTTAGTTTTTCTGGCAGTGAAGAACTCTTTCCTTGTATCCAGCCACAATTTCCCTTGAAGAAATTTGCACCTGTTGCCTCTTGTCCTGTGCATCCTTCTGAAAAGAATACCTCCACCTTCTCTATAACTATGTTAGGGATCAGAAAACTGTGACTAGATACTAACCTCTAGGAACTCTCTTTGTGACCAGCTGCCCATGAGCCAGTAAAAGCATGTTAGTCTTACCCTAAAAGTTCAAGCCATAACATTTCTGTAAGATTTTGAAAAGCATAGTTTATGTAAGCAACTTGGTAAATCAGATTATTTCAACTGTCACCAGGATCAGTAAGTATTATCCCTCTGATGTCAACATTTTTTCCCTGAAATTATGGACCAGAAACTATCACATTGCAGCTAGGAAAGTCCTAATGAGTTGTGCATGGAGAAATGCTAAATCTGCATGAGGAAAAAAAGCTATTAAGAATGGTAATTCAGCTGTTAGGAAAGGCTGTTCAACAGTTTTCTATTGTGAGAAACATATCTTCTGCATGAAAAGCAAAAAAGAGGTAAAGTTGACTTTTTTTCCTGGAGAATTTGACTGGCCTAAAGATTTTGAGACAGCTTCTCACTGTGGATACTCTCTTCCAGAATTTAATTGTTGCTCTTTTAATACTTTTTTATAGCAATTAATCTGAATTTTTTTATTCCTGCACTGTGGTAGTCTGCAAATAGAAAACCAAAAAAAGTCTGGTCTCAAAAAGAGGTCTGCATAAGAGAACAGTGTTCAAAATACCAAATATCATGGTAATGGTCTCCCTAGTAATAAAGATAGGAAGGAAAGAAAACTGTTTGCAAAAGGCAAACATTATTAGCTCAATGCAGCCACTCTAGCAAATGTCTCATAATCTACTTTTATCAGATGCAAACAAAAGGAACAAGTTGCCTCCATGTAATAAACTTAAAGCAGACCAACAGTACTCTTCAGTCATGCAAGGTACCATTTCCTCAATACAGGGACAGTTCCACTCTCTTCCTGATTGGTGATGTTTCTTTGTTCTAGGCAGATCTTAGGCTCATTCCTGTCTAGATCGTTTCATTGCTTTGGAGTCTGTTGCTCTTCCTGGTATTTAAAAAGGTCTCTATGCCTATTACAGACCAAACTGACAAGAGAAACATCTTTAAGAGAAAGGGGAAAACAACACCTCACTCTCTAGACTATTTTCAAGCTATTTCTTTAGCTATACACATAACTTTGCTAGTTATACAGTACAAAAATTATGAGATGTGTAAGATGGGTGAGAAACTCCACATTGAAATGGAGACAATAATGACATGTAATATTGAAATGAGAGATATGATAAAAGATGGGCGTTATTAATGGAACTTCTTAAGAAGTGGTTTTAGGGCTAACCTTATTTGATGTTTTCATTACTGACACTGACAAAAAAAAATAGGATTTTATAAGGAAATTTATAGTTGACATAACATTTGGAGTTGTTATTAAAACAGATTAAGATCATGGTGTCACACAGATGGAGATGGAAGCCCTTGAGAACTGATGTATTAGAAATGGAATTAAATATAATAGTACAAAGTACAAGATAATGCACTTAAAAACAGTTACAAGAAATTCTGTTATTAACACAGAGCTCATCAACTGGGAAAGACAGTTGCTGTGGCAGTTAATCAAAGGATGGATAACTATGAGATGCCAGTGTGATGTGGCCACAAGAGACTAAATGTAATGCTAGGAGATCTACCACACAGACTGTGTCATGTGAAAAAGGATATTGTACTCATTGTATTTCCCATTACTGATAATGTGGATTTAGTAAACCTAAATGGACTTCTCTTTCATTAGCTTTTCCAGTCACAGCATGAATGTCCAGAAACTTTTAGGATTCCCAATGCTGGCTTTTGGTACCAAGTTCTATAAATCCACTACTTGCTGCATGAATACATAACTACTTTTGTTTGTTCCAAACTTGTCACTTACTAGTTTTTTTTGATGCCCTGTACTTTTACTGAAGGAAACAGTGGAAAATCTGTCCTCATCCATGCTCTCATGAAGTCATGATTTTATAGATCTTTATTTTATTCCTCCTTAGTCATCATCTTCATGGTTTATTCTTTTCTTGTGAAAGCCATTCTGTACCCTCAGTCATTATCCTCCTCTGAACCTTTTCTAATTCTACCATATCTTTTTTTGAGGTGGCAGATCAGAGTAGGCATACTATTTAAGATGTGGTTTCGAGCCACTGAAGTAAGGATAATGTGCAATAGCCTTTCAACAGGCAAGGGACAAATAAACAGATTTGTAATCAATTTTTGAAAGACTTTGTATATATAATAGAGGAATATTAGAGGAATAATAGACGAATGGATTTTGATAACCAAGATCCTTTTATTCCTTCTAGTTTCTTTATTCATGAATAAAGAATAGAAAGAAGTCAAATTAACACAAAGATATTTTCTAGAAAATTTGTAAAACTGCACTAGAAAAAGGTTCATAGCAAATTTACTAACGTGAGTTGGGAAGAAGTAAATGTTTAGTTTCAGGTAAGATGCAGTTTGGGATTGCATGATGATAGTCTGCAAGAAATAATTAAGATTGTATCTCGTAATCAAGATAACATATTCTTTATCAATAATTTAAGTTAAGATTTAATAGAGGTGACTCCTAGTATTTTACAGAAAATAATGTTTTAAAGGACATGTGAAGGTCCTGTGTGTGAAAAATATACAAAAAGAGCATAGATGCTTTTCTAGTGGCCTCTAATGAACAGTGACTCATAGGTTAGTTCAGGTGCTCCCTGTTACATAAATACTTGCCTGAAAAAAAAAAAAAAAAAAAAAAAAAAATTAAAGACAAGTGAAAGTACTTATACTAGTGCCACAGAAAAAATTGTTCCTCTGCAGAACAATAACTGTAGATTTGTTTGCATTGGTTAGAAATGCTTTTCTTGGAGTATTACTCTCAACTGCTGCAGATGTGTTTACTAAGCAAAGTTACAGCTATGCATATCAAATCTATTTTCACTAGACATGGTGGTTTATCTGTGACAGAAATATGCAAAAATAGGTCATGGTTTAGTAGCCCTAGTTTAAGCAATTTGTAGTAAAGTACAGTGTAGGCATATCACTAGTGGACCCCTGTACTTCATTCAGTCAGTGGAAAATGATGTCAAAATAGTTTGGAGGGAAATGTGCCAAGTCAGATTTAGATTGGTAGTTAGCACAGTTAAATTACAGAATAGCACAAATGAAGCAAAGGATGTTACATGTTTGCATTCTGTTCACTGGAAAGCTGAATGTCTGTACTGCTAGGAACTAATGAAAGGGTCACTGAAGACATAGAGACAAATAGAACAATACAAAATACTAGGTATGATTTATGATCCTTGAAGCTCCCACCTTTTTTTGAAAATGACACTTTCTATGTTATAAAAGGTAGCAAGTCATAAAGGCATTTTTGAAATGAGATACGCGGAGAACTGAAGGAAGTTCTTATCCCACATGTATGACTATAAAAACAAAAAAAAAGGCAAGACTTTCTCAGGGAAGAATCAGTTGTCAAGGACATCTGAGATTAGTTTAGCTCTCTTAGGCTCTTTTAGCATTTGAGATTAGCTTCATTAATTAGCTTAAACAATAGATTTCGTATAAGTACTCGAAATTCTATTATCTTAGTGCCAATTGTTAGTTGCTCTTACTACTATGTTTGGCTGAGAAAGAAGCCCCAGTGCGAGCATTTTGGAATTGGACTGTCATTCAGACACCCAGGCTACACAATATACTGACCAGCAATAATTCAGATAAGGAACTAAGTGGAGCTGAATCAGATTTGTTCCTCCAAGGCAACACAGGCAGAGAGGAGAGGTCTAAGGGAAGTACTTCAGCCATCAATACTGAAGGGCTGGAAGTCATATGAAAGCCAGATCCGTAGCATTTGAGCAAGGGATAGGGTGAAGGAGACTAGGTAATGGCCAGAGAATGGCAATGGAAAGTGAGGAGAGTTATATTAGATGGGAACCAAGTCAAATGAGTCCTCTAAAGAAACAAATAGAAAGATATTTCTCAAGGATAAATGCTTTGTTTTCCAAGAACTTCTACTACATAACGTGAATATGTTCTTGGTGTTTCATTCTTGCTTAAAAACGCTGCAGTAATTGAGATAGCTACTTCAAAATATAATCAGTTTTTATGGGACAATCTGAAAGTAGTAACAAAAAAGGCAGTTAACAAAACCTGTAGATCATTGCCAAAGTGCACTTTGAAAGAAGTGAAGTATAGCATGTAAAGAAGAAAGCAAACTATAATTTGGAAGATGTTATTCTTTCTTATCTGCTTCTATTTTGAGCCATATAAATTAGGCTTTTTTCTAAAAATATATCACCACTGAACTATGTTTTTTTGTATTTTGTTTGGTTTTGGTTTTTTAAGGTAAGAGGGCCCCCACTTGCAGGAGCATTTAAAGAAAGACCAACAAAGCCCACAGCATTTCGCAAGTTTTATGAGCGAGGAGACTTCCCAATTGCCCTTGAGCATGATACTAAAGGAAACAAAATTGCCTGGAAGGTAAGTCATGGCAGAGCTGTGACAGCCAGTGGAGCTTATTGAAGTGACATCTCTCATTGTCAAACAAAGTTGGCTTATAAGTAAATAAACTGAAATAATTTCTTAGCAAATGAAAGACAGTGGGGAAGCTGTTAGAGAAAGGCCCCTGAGTCAGCTGTTTACCTTGGCTAACAATTAAATTATATGCTGCAAAAAGGAAGATGACAGAGTTGCTTTGCCTTAGAGAATCGTCTTCTGCCCAATTCATCTCTATTTTTATGAGGACCTGGCAATGCAGCCTGTTTCAGGCAGTCCATCAAATGATGGAAGTGGCTGGATACAGCGAGCAGGAACCATTTATCTCCCCCAGATTTCACCTTCCTCCAGGACACTTCCAAATAGAAGCTTTAATTACCTAAATGGATAGGTCAAGATTGCCTGCTCCCTGAAAATGCAGAGCAGAATACAAACGAAGGCAAATTCTCATTCCACAGCTGTACTCTCAGTCTACAGCATATGTCAGACAGCGTAATCGCTGTCATACGTGGCCCTGTTAGAGGCTGACCTCCACTGCTGAATCCATTACAGCTCCGACATTTCTCTGACAAAAGGTTAATTGGCTTCAAAATAAATGTATTGCCTAATGACTCCATTCTAACGTGGCTGTGTTTCTCTCTAAAAGGCTTGGTGATGTTATTTGTAAAACTTGCCAATCTTCTAAGTAACTACCGCAGACTTTTAAATTTAATTTGAAAAATGAATGCTGATCTTTAACCTGCTCCTACTGTTTAATTGTTTTGGTTATCATGAATTACTTTATTGTTTTGCATTATTTATTGGACTAGAATAAGATTTTGCTGGAAGCAGTGATAGTTACAGAAAATGCACATGATATGCATGTACAAAATATGTCAGATTTGTGGAATGTTTTAAATTGTTGGTGTCAAGAAAGTGATACCAATTTTAAATGTGTAACTATGTTAATTCAACACAAAAAGGAGGGGTTTCGCAATCTTATAGCTGATTCTACTTCTAATGAAGCCAGCAGGATTGGACCTATAGAGTGGTAAGTGGTACTATGTAATTTGCTAGTGGGTAGATTTTAAGGTAGCTTTTTTGTTTATTGAAGTATAGAAGAGAGGTTTGTGCTACCATTTTGTTGCCCATAACAGTGTTGAATCAGCACAAGGAACAATTAATAGTTCTTGCAGCAAAGGAAATCTCTATCCAGCAAGACTTTACCCATAATCAGAATGAGATTCCAGTGCAACTGGTCCAGTGCAACCCTAGAAATGCCCTTTCTGGACTAAAACTCACAGGCTTACAACATAAGTCTGCACTCTAATCTTTCACCACCAGGTAAGACCCAAAGGTGATTTGCAAGCAACTGCAAAAATCTGCAGAATTTAGATTTTATCTTGAGGCATTATAACTTCTGATTTCTCAAAATCAGACTGAGAGGTACAGGCAATTTACCTCATTTTAGTTGCTATTTGATGCACATGCCTCCATCATAAGGACTATGAGGACTATAAGGAGCATTCCACAAGGCGATGCTAGTGACTTCTTAGTTGACTTAGGACACAAGGAAATGGAATGAAGCTGTGTCAGGGGAAGTTCAGATGGGACATTAGGAAAAGGTTCTTCACTGAGAGCATGGGCAGTTACTGGAACAGGCTCCCCAGGGAAGCAGTCACGGGACCAATCCTGTCAGAGTTCAAGGAGCATCTGGATGATGCTCTGAGTCGTATGGTTTCATTTTAGATAGTCCTGTGAGGTGCAGGTTGTTGGACTCGATGATCCTTATGGGTCCCTTCCAACTTGAGATATTCTGTGATTCTATGACATCTTGCTAACTTGCTGCCTACAAGCCTTCCAACCACAGCTGAATGTCTAGAGAAAGTGTTTGCTGCCTGTATCTGACAGTTTGAATTGTTGAAAACATACTACCTTAAGACAGTCACAATAGCAGAGCCTCTAGTCAAAGATCCAGCATGTATTTTTTCTTAACACAACTTGTAATCTTGTAGACATAATGTCTCCCTAGTGTCCACCTGCCACAGTAAAACATTGGCATGTAGCTAGCGCAATGTAGAACTGAGTCATGCAACAGTTGCTTTTTCTGTTGCTGTTAATCCTTTCTTTCGAAACAAATTATCACTACTTCAGCATGCCTGCAAGAAGGCAGCATGGTAGCGGACTATTCCATTCTTCCATTAGCGCATGGCAGGGTACAACCTTATTTCCCTTTTTCCATGCCACTTGATTTAGTCACAAATCAATCCAGACTGAGTTCTGTGGCAGGCACTCAAGAAAACAATACTGAGGTAGTAGAATTACTTGAGGCTGTTGTTTAATTTGGCATGCAACCATCATTGATTATTGTGCAGTTTAAGTAGATGAAGCAGGCAAATAGGAGTTTTCTAGTTCAAATTTACATTAGATAGCTTCTAAAGTCTTAGAGGCTGCTTACTGCCGCAAAAGGGTGAGAATGTTGTTCATCATTAGCTAATATTTAAAGGTGCAGACAAAGTAAGGTCTGTAGTTTTCACTTGTTTTAAGGACATGCGAATAGTCAAAGTATCCAACATACATCTAATGGCTATTTTTCATCAGTTCATCATATTTATTTGTAAATCTGATTAAATAAGTAATTTTCTTAGAACTGTATTTTACTCAATACTGCTTAAATTCATGAAAATGAAAAAAATATTTTAATAATGAAATGTGTGGAGGCAAAATGTTCTGTAAAATCTTGGCTGAACTATATTTGCATGAATCATGATTCTAGTGGAAGGATAAAAAGAAGAAATATATTGTAACAGTGATATTTCAATTGCACAATAACAATGTTTTATTGTGAAAGGGTTTTTTTTTTCTCTGTTTGGATGTAACGTATATCATGGTTCATTTCACTCTTGTTAGTTTGTCTACCAGGCGGTGCATGAGAGAAAAT